TTTTAACGCCGCCGCGCCCCACCGCCTTGCGCTTTGCGCGGCGAATGTAATCACTGGCTGCAAGATTGTGACGGGCTTTATTGCGTTTATAGGCTCCAGCGTGAGCGTGGTAGGGAGGCGAGAGCCGTCTAAGGGCGGCGCGCGCACCACCACCACGACGCCGCGGACAATGCCGCGCAAGAGAGCGAGAGAAAAAAATTATAATCTCTTCAGTTTTCTCATCTTTCTTCGCGTGGTGCTATTCTTCTTGTTCTCTACCAATATCTTCCCCTGTCCGCCTCACGGCGCCCGCTGTATGGGGTGGCGCGCGGGTGGCGGCGTCGTCGTGGACCCATACCCCTAGCCATTGTCGGTGTTCCGAGGCGTGGCGTGGTGTGGTGCGTGGCGGGGCGGGGCGGGGCGGTGCGTTCCGACGGTCCATTCCGCCATCGAGGTCGAGATTCGGAGGGCCATGCAGGCCGAATCGCTACCACCACCGCCCGCCTCGCTCCCCCCGCGCCCCGATATTGGATAGAGCATATCCACATCCACAATGGGGCTCTCTGGCGCTGCGGGGGTGACGCTACCTGCCTGCCACGCCGCGCTCGCCATGCGAGAGGTGCGACCCGAACAAGAAAACCCCCGGGAGTGTGTGTGAGAGAGAGAGAGGGGGGGTGGGGGTGTTACTGAGTGTGCGTGAGAGAGAGAAGGGATTCAATTTCTTGGCATGATTATCCCCGAAGCCTTCCAGGCCTGCACCCTCCGCATGTGAAAACTCATTCAATTATTAGGCCGTTGGCAGCGAAAGCCATCACGACGACCCCTGCTGACCGTCCCCCTACAGCCCCCGGACCATCCCCGCCGACCGTCCCCCGACATCCCATCCGCCTGGCCGCCCAGCCGGTCGGCCCGGCCACGGGTGGGGTTTTGAATATTTTAGCAGGGCCTTGGCCAAAATGAAAACACCAGCAATGAAACAAGGACCGGGCAGGGGGCTGCAGCGCATCATTGGGGAGCGAGGCGCGCCCCATGCGTGTCCAAAGTACGTCGTAACCAGCAGCGGGACCACGAGAGGAAAGTTAAGCCTTGTTTGTGGACCAGGGGGCGCCGACACGGCCACTTTTACTTTCCACTATCGACGGCGTGTCATTTGTCCACCGGGATCCCTCTTACACAATCCCGATCCCGGTCTGCAGGATAATCCCCCTCCCCCTGCAGTATATATGGAGTAGGTGTGTCTCCGCCTTAATCCCGCCATTTGCCGCCCTCGCGTGGGATCCTGATCTCGATGTGCCGCCGCTATTGTATATACCGCCCCCGTATTGCGATTCACGAGGGGATTCCTATTCGGCCATTGGGCCATTTGAGCCCCACGGGCGTCCGGCCCGGCCCACCCCTGCCGCCCCGGTGGCCCCGGCACAGCCCGGCCTGGCCTTTGCTGTGTTGATTTATCATAATGACGATAGTTTGAGTCGGTCGGACCGTACCGCCGGACCCACACCGGCGCGGGGGTGTACTTCGGGGCTGCGCGGGGCGTGGTGTGGTGTGGTGTGGCCGCAGACACCGGCCGCTCCGCGCCACGCCACGGCACGCAGCCCGGCAGCGTTGTTCCGCGCTTCCTGAACGTTTCCTGTCTGGCCCGGCTCCCTCAATGCATCACTCGAACCTCGAACACACAGAGGGGATTTATGCTCGCTGCTGCTTCCTTTTCAAACGCGAACCTTTGCGCTGCCTGCTCTGCCGATGCTGCTCGGCTTGGCTGCTCTCAACCATGGTTGAGCCTTGAGCAGCACGGTGCAGCGGGATGATATTGCCACACGGTCCCTGTGCTCTCCTCCCTCTCTCCTCTCTCCCCCATCCTCCTCACCGGGCCCACCCCCAGGGGGTTGTTCCGGTTTCCTGCCGGTTAAACTCCGCGCTCCCGCCCCTCCCCACCC